AGGTATTTATAATTTGTTTTATATCTATACACAAATGTGTTGCCTTTCATGTCTTATTTTAAAAACTGAATGGGTTGTTTTACAAGGAGAGGGTTTCCAATCACTGCAATCAAGAATGTGATCTTCATACCCCATACTGTGTGCAGGTAGGCCTCTGATCACACCTGTGCGCTGTGCTTGTGGGTGTTTCAGTATTTGTCATGTGACACCATAGGACAGCCCACTCACTTGAGCCTTCACTTGGAGCTCCTGCACCTTTTTTGGGTAGTGATCCTGGCATGTTTCTGTGTGTTCCCAGAGAGTGCTGGTGCGATTGGGGCTGCAGCTTTTCTATGTCCATGTGAGGGCTCCTATACACCACAATCTCTGTGTTCACTGCGTTTCTGCATGCGTGTTTTTAGGGCCACACTACATGCGTTTCAGTTGCTTTTTTTTCTGCATCCGATATGCACAGAAAGTAGGTTATATGGTTGTCAATGTCATAGATCACATCAGTGCTTGCAGTTCCAGTGCGTTCTGAGCACAGAAACAGGCTGCATTTTTTGTTCTGCACAGAACTGTACTGGAATGTGGTAAAAACGCATAAAAACGCACTGGAATACACCAAAATGCATCAAACGCAGTGGAACATACCAAAATGCATCAAACGCATTGGAACATACCAACATGCATCCAAAACGCACAGAAAATAGGTTATATGGTTGTCAATGTCATAGTTCACATCAGTTCCAGTACGTTCTGAGCACAGAAACAGGCTGCATTTTTTGTTCTGCACAGAACTGTACTGGAATGTGGTAAAACGCACTGGAACACACCAGAATGCATCAAAAACGCACTGGAACACACCAGAATGCATCAAAAACGCACTGGAACACACCAAAATGCATCACAAACGTACATCTTCCTATTTGAATAGAAGAAAAAGAGAGGGTTAAAAATGAACTGGAACGCATCAAAAACGCACATGTGGAAATGTATCTGGACTGCTTTTCTATCGTGTGAACCGGCCCTTAGGGTTATTTTTTATGCATTACAGTTAATTTTTTCCCCTCTATTTCTTCACTGTAAATAAGGACGTGTGCTCCCGTGCGTTCTAGTTGCGTTTTACCGCATTGCAGTACAGTTCTGTGCAGAAAAAATGCAGCCTGTTCCACTTTTTTTTGCAACGCACTGGAACTGCAAGCACAGACGTGATCTATGACATTGACAATCATATCACCTACTTTCTGTGCGTTTTGGATGCAGAAAAAAAAGCAACTGAAATGCATGTAGTGTGAACGGGCACTCACTGTTTGGGGTGCGTTTTTTGGAATACTTTTCATTTACTTCAGTTTCTTTATGAAATTATTTACTTGTTTGTACAGGTTCTCGTGTTTGTATATTTCTGGTGTAGAAAAATGCGGAGTGCTGTACTTTTACACACATGAAAGCATTGCGATGTTGTACATGAAGATCATTGGAATCTCACCTAGGCGATTATACTGCGTTTATGGACACACGTAACCTGACTGCCTCTGGGGTATGAGTCCAAAGACATGATATTCATTTGAAGCCATTGAATCCGTGTGGCAGCCACGCAATTAGCATTTTCAGGACGAGGAGAGGGGGCTTTCTTCCCTTTGTCCTGTGATTCCTCCAGTGATATCACCGTACACGATGTGACCTGACCCCATGACTGCCCTCACTCCTGGGCTGTGTGTGATGATGGACGAACAATGCTCTCATCCTGTGGGATGGATTGGGCTGCAGAAATTCGCTCAGCGCTGCACTAGCTGTCACCTGCAGGAAGGTGTCGCCCCTCTCCTCTCCGCTCTGAGCTGTGTACGTGATCCGCCACTCCCTGCTAGTGGCGTCCGGCGAGCCCCGCGGACCGCCCACATTCCTGTGACGTCACCCGGGGATCTTTATACCGTAGAGGCCTGGGCTCTCCGTCTTCCTGCGGTGTCGGTACCGGGACATGCGGCTGTCACAGGAGTCAGGTATCTTCCCCCCCCCAACCTTGTATTGCTGGCAGTGTGCATGTGTCGGCGCCATGACATGGTGATGTGTGTGTCAGATCTCCCAGAGAAATGTCATTCTGTTCTGCCTGGGGCCACACTGTACACAATACATGGAGGTAGTCTGATGGTGACATCGCCTGTCTGGGGGGGGGGGACAGCTGCTCCTCTCCTCCGGACACACACCAGTCATCGGGAACCTGACAGCTGGACAATATTGGGATCACATCACATCATACACCATACATCACACACCATACATCACATCATTCTTCTATTTTACTGATCTGCCATAAAACCAATGTGACCGGTTCACAGGTCTCTGCTGGCCATGCCTTCTCCCCTTCTTTGTTTATGGAGGGCATTTTCCACTTGTTTTCAATTACGGTTTTGATGCTTGAGCCAGTGTTCACACTTGTGCGGCGCAGCACATCGAATGTGATTCACACCGGAGCCGCACCGCATTTCTGTGCAAATCGCACCACATCTGCACAAGAAAGGTGCAAGACCTTTTTCGGTCCGCACTAGAATCAGATTACACATATGTAATCCGATTCTGCACATTACACCGCGTTTTGTGAACTGATTTCGGGGTGTTGTTTGGGGTGCGATTGTGATGCAGTGCAGAATTCACACAGAAACCGATGTGAATTCTGCACCATATCAGTGTGAACCCAGGGTTAGGGTTCTTTTGTAGGAGACTACAGTACTTGCTGACACAGCACACACACAAGTCAACTTGGCCTAGGAGCCTAAGGCATGGTTCACACCTGTGTGTCTGCTTTTCATGCATTGTTTTTTTGTATTTTTGCAGTGCATTTTTCCCTTATTGTTTTTTTTTCAGTTGTGTTTTTGATGCATTTCCATGCGTTTTTGCAGGAGGAGACATTTGCAAACACTGCAAATACACACCAAAAGGCTAAGGCTAGGGCTAGATTCACACCTGTGCATATGGTTTTCATGCGTTTTTGTTTTTTTTTTGGGGGGGGGGGGGGGGGTTTGCAACACATTTTCTCTCGTGTTTTTGATGCGGATTCATGCATTTTTTGTAGAAGTCTACTTGTTAAACACAGACCCTACCACAGATGCACATACATGCATTTTTTTTTCATGTGCTTCCATTGAAGTCTGTGGAACCAAAAATACACCCTTCCTGCATGAAGTCCCTGTACCTCTTTCAAAAAAGGAAAACTGCATAGATGTGAACAGGGCCCATAGAAAACCATGTTAAATTGATTGTCATGCATTCCTATGCTTCTAAAAATATGCACACAAAAAAAATGCACACATGTGAATCTAGCCTAAGAGGATGATTGATGCACACACACACACACACACTCTATCTCTCAGGGATCTCTTCTATTGCTATTCAGTGCATTTATGTTTATGCAGCCTATCATGTATGTTTATACCCGTGTGAGGAGGACTGAGGGGCAGCCATACCCTGCTTGTCATAGATGGATGTATGCTGAACCCATAGACTTGAGATCTCAGCCGTATTATGGGATTGCCATCACAGGTCTATGAGCAGCAAATAAGTGGCCTTTTTGTAAGATCATTTTCTTTGTAACTTATAATAGTTCCATATGTCAGACCAGGGGTGGACTGACAACTCATGGGGCCCCTGTGTCCTTGCCCAAACCAGGTACCAGGGGCATCTCATGGGGCCCCCTACTGACCCCGGGCCCTCGGGCAGTGCCCGAGTTTCCAAAGGGTCAATCCTCCCCTGTGTCAGACATTTGTAGGCAATTTGTGGGGTCTGTGTACTGTTAGACAACTTTGGTTTGTGAAAAACAACATTTCTAAGTTTAAATGTGATGCTTGGCTTTGAGGCTTCTGTCCTGAGAACTGTCAATAATAGTCATACTTCAATAGAAAACTACTTTTGTAAGCTCCCAGGATCAGGCCCTCAAATCCCTCTTGTATTGAACTGTATTGTTGCTGTATTGTCTCTCGTTATATAGTAAAGTGCTGAGCAAACTGTTGGCACTATATAAATTTTGTATAATAATACTTTGGTTTTCTTTTAGAGATCAAGGACAAGTTCAGATTTACCAGTAAACCCTCCAGTTCTTCCTAGAGGGTCTTTCCCCCCTCTCCCCGGTGTTTTCCATTTTCAATGTTATCAACCTCCTCCATTGTTTACAGGCTTCTTTGGCATTCTTGTCCTGCACAGACGCTCCCCTTAGACTTGAATGTGTCCATACCTGTACAGTTGAGGGGTTATCTGCAAGTGTGGGCAGTGCAGGACAAGATTTTGAGGTGAAGGCTGTAAACAGCAGAGGGGGCCACCTTCATCTAGAAGAGGTAGGTATGCACCTAAGTAGGTGAGTTTAGGCTTGCCTTAGTTTGGGGGCTATGGAGGGCAGCTGGAGGGTTTTGAATAAACCTGCACTTGTCCTTTTAACTTCATGTATTCTCCTTCAAGAGAGGTGCTATGTACATAGCTTGGAATGTGTTCCTTGCTTAGGCCCCAGTCTGCACAGCTGGAAGCTGATACCTCCTTCACATTGCCCCTGAGCCTATAGGTCATGTAGCTGTGTACTGTTTGCGACATTAACCATTATTATTATTATACAGTATTTATATAGCACTAAAAGGTTTGCTCAGCGCTGATGTTGTGAATAAATGTCAGTTGCCTTTTCTTTTACTAGCACGGGTTTATTTCTTTTTCAACTTGAATTTTTAGAACCAGCTTTTGATATTTCCTTTTCTTGATGCAGTGTTACCATTGTTGTATTTTTTGCTGTGCTAGTTAAGTTATAACTTGCTAATTACAGCTTTATGGGTGTTTCCAGAAGCTGAGTTTGCATGATACAGTGCTGTAGAGTCTGATATGTTGATTTTCATAAGAGATATACACGCACAGCTTTATCTTTTAGCTACAGTTTTTAGAAACTGCTACATGAGTGACGTGTAAATTTGCTGCTGACCTTGCAGACAGTGGAATGCTTGTGAATTTTTTTTTTTCTCTTATCTTTTTTTTTTTTTTTTTTTTTATAGAAGTGCCAAAAAAAATGGATTTGAACCAAGATCTTCCCAGTGGCCAAGATCCGCTTTCTAAATGTCTTCATGCTAGAAAGGAATTAGAAACTGCAATTCAAACTCTACTTAAAACAGAACAACAAGTCAAGGAAAATGGCAGAGAGGTACTGTGTTCAGTTATGGGCATCTGCTAATACTAATCATTATTCATTGTCATGTTTGATAAAGGGAAAATCAAACTCATTTGAAAGGGTTCTTGAAGAAACTGATTTTACTCTCTTAGTAACTGTATCCACAGTAATCTAATCTGGTTATGATTTCTAAGGTGTCATTTGTGGGGGGGGGGGGGGGTGTTGTGTGATGCTAGCATTGTTTTCATTCTGCTAATACCATTACATAATTTTAATCACATGATGGAGTGTGAATGAGAGCTGTGCTCATTTTATGATACAATGTCTCGCTGTGTTGCAGGTTATAAAATGCAGTCTGAATTATTAAAATCTTACTTACAATTTATTGGTTAGGGCCTGCATGTTTTTTAGGCCTGATAATACTGACATATGCATATGCTTTAAGGTCTCATGCACATGTTGTTTAATGTGGTCATGCACATTCATGCATTTGTATTTTTGTGCAGTGTTCAAAGTGTGCTAAAAACCCAAACCCAAAAGCTGCACTTTGAAGAGGCACTTATGCGCACAACTTGCATGCATGTGCATTTAAATGTATTCTAGTGGCTAGAATAAATGAATATTCCAGCCAATAGAATGAGTTTACATTCATACTCATATAAACGCCATATGTCTGTAAACGCACATAAATGAGTGTGCTGCCCTGCATATGGGGGTGGAGAAAGAAAAAAAAAAAAGCAACTTGAGATATTATGGTGGGGGGGGGGGGGGGGGACTTAATAGCCTGGGGTTAGTGCAGGTTCACAATTAGAAGGGAGCCTGTGGGCAGCAACAGAACCAACCCAGACAGAGGCAACGTCCTATATACGGACAGCTGGGCATGTCAGGATATACAAGGGTCTACTAGGGTCATAAACCTAAGTGACCACTGTCTGAATTCTGCAGTACTTCCTCTTGACCCCCTGCACTCTGTGTTTTCCTCCCTCTAAAATCCAGACATTTCTTTTGTCCCACTTACCAATAACACCGGGCTTTTTTTCTCCTACTGAGAAATCCAATGATGTTGGTCATTTCGTTTTCTCCCACTGACCACCATCAGCGGGTCATTTCGTTTTTCTCCCACTGACCACCATCAGCGGGTCATTTCGTTTTTCTCCCACTGACCACCATCAGCGGGTCATTTTGTTTTTTTCTCCCACTGACCACCATCAGCGGGTCATTTCGTTTTTCTCCCACTGACCACCATCAGCGGGTCATTTCGTTTTTCTCCCACTGACATGACACCAGTCATTTTTCTTCCATTTGGGGGTTTAGTTGTACAATTTAGTTTAGATAACGCCACAGGTTACTAAATATTCATTTTCTTTTGTTGTGAAATCTACATTTTGTTATATATAACTGGCACTTTCAGATTCCTAAAAACATTTTTTTGGCATACTACTGTCAAATGGTTACCTACTCCTGGCCTAATTTGAAAAAGCAACAATACACTTCAAGGTTACAACTTTTTTTTCATGAAGAACTTTTTGTCTGATAACAATCCCCCTCCCATAAATCCATCTGGGCTGAAGGTTCTGCTTTGCACTGCCATAATACTGGAGTTGGACTCTCACTGGTACTTGTTCAGGAAATCTAGTCATTCTCAATATTCTTCACTGAAACAATGCATGTATTACAGGCTTCCAAATGAATGTGCTATTGTGTTCTATATGATCACTTTCATTCGTTGTGATTTGTAATGGGGTCTGATATCTGATGGTGATCTCTGGAATAACTATATGAAGATCATGGTTTTATGTTTATAATTACCATGTTCACTTGCAGGTTAAAGCTGAGATTCAGTCTTGTATTAGTCGTCACCTGGAATGTCTGCGCAGCCGTGAAATTTGGCTCCTGGAGCAGGCTGACTTGATTCAGCAGCTGAAGGAAGAGGCCTTACAACACCAAGCTCAGCAGCTCTATTGGGTAAGTGTACCAGAGCTTCACTTGGACAGCTTTCTTCAGAACTTGGTCAAGCAAATGTTTAACTGTGCATTTATTACATTAATAGTTACAGCATTTGGACAATTTTTTTATATAACTTTTCTTTTTAATATTAACAAGCAGTTGAGAACAGCATTTGGTAGTATAGTATTTGACTTGGTAATAATTATCTCTTTGCAAGGATTAGTCACGTGTGGTGGACTGTTCTTTTAGGTTGCAGTGCAGAGTTCCAGTGTGAACTTTGTAGCTTCCTTTAAGTGTAAAGTCTGCAAATACCACTTCTTCAGCAATGCAAACGCTGAATCCTTCGCCAACCCCTGATATCCTTCCCTATGGTTTCTGCTGTGTTTCGGTTGCTTGAATGGCTGGCAAGGATGACATGACTCCTGTCATGCACACCACAATCATTGATACTGGCACCATGCAAGATTCTATGCCAAGCTGCGCATGTGGAGCTCAGTGTACATTCAATAGAAGTTAGCAAACAGGCAAGTTTGTTTTTTTTGCGGAAGTCAAAGTATGTTTCTTCTGTGACAAAAAGCTACCTGTTTTGCAGTTTTTACTGAAGGTTTAGTTTCATTTTAACTCTTTTTATGTTAATAAAAATTTCCCTAGCAGTGAGCACCTTGTAACGATCCTCTCCTTAGCTTAACCCTTAACACCTAATCCCTGAAATGGGTCTCTAAAACTTAGTGTTACTAAACCCAGGACCCTGCATTCACTATATCCAGTCTCCACAGTACACACAACATAGAAATGCAATTATTTTAGTAAATATAAACTGCTAAATACCATTTCACATCAGCCGTATATAGCAGTCCTTGTACTTCTATCAGCGTCCAGCTGAGTGCTGGTTAAAGCTTGTATGAGGAGTTTTCATTCTGCTCTGACTGTCCTATGAGGCTGCATAACCCCTGATCCTCTGTCTGGATAGTGCTTATTGGCCCTGTGCTGATTACATGCATTCTCTACTGAATTAAAAAAAAAAAAAAAAAAACTCTCTAGCAATACACACTAAACTGAACACATGCAGAGTAACTCCTAGAGCTCTGTGCTATCAGCAGATGGCTTGGGGACGTTAGAAGAAGGGGAGGATCAGAGAAGACAGGATCAAACAGCTTTTTTACACAATGTGGAGGATTAATCCCTTAGGTTCCACAGTGAGTATAACAAGCATGCTTAACTGCATATACAGACTTATTTTTGCTGTTTTGGGTTTAGAAACACGTCAACAAATGTAACAATAAAACTTTTGTAATAAAAAAGCTGAACTCCTTGACTTATAATCTTTGACTCTTATCTAATGTAACCCCTTAACTGAGCCCTGACACTAAACGAACTCCTTTTATGTATATTTGCATTGACAGCAGTTGTGCTCAATCCTTCAACTTGTGCTGTTAGTCCTATGATTAATGTAGGGGCTAAATGGAGAATAAAAAAAGATTTGTCAGCACAGTGGCTAAATGGTTAGTACTTCCGCCTGGCAGTACAAGGGTTGTTGGTTCGTATCCCAGCCACGGCACCTCCTGCCTGGAGTTTGCATGTTCTCCCTGTGCCTGCGTGGGTTTCCTCCGGGTACTCCAGTTTCCTCCCACACTCCAAAGACATGCTGGTAGGTTAATTGGATCCTGTTTAAATTGGCCCTAGTATGTGTATGTATGAATGTAAGTTAGGGACCTTTAGATTGTACGCCCCTTGAGGGTTAGGGACTGATGTGAATGTACAATATATATGTAAAGCGCTGCGTAAATTGACAGCGCTACATAAGTACCTGAAATAAATAAATAATTTGTCAGGAAGACCTTATTGTAAAATGTTTTTCGTGTGTGTGTGGTCTATTATTTTTTTTCTCTTTGGATTAAAGAACAAACAGTCATACACAATATCTGTTTATTGGCTGGTATAGATTGCAAAAGTGAGCTAGGACAGGCAGATCTCTTAGCAGCCTTTATTGTCAATGAGAGATGCTTTGTAAGTTCTCTGTCTAATACATTCATTTTTGTTTTAGCTGTTGGGACAGTTCAATTGCCTGATTCACCAGCTAGAGACCCCTCACAGTAATGACCTTGCCAATCAGATCACAGTTTGTTTAGAAAGGTAAGTGGTATAGCATAAACAGCTACAAATCATTAACTGCTTCCCCGCCGCCCAAAATACTGCTGCAGGGCTGCACAAAATGGTGAGTGTGTGTGAAGTAACATGCTGTGTATTTCTCTGCACAGCAGATTGTTTCCCAAGAAAAACAAACACAGCACATTGTTAAACAGCACACAGTTAACCCTTTGATCGCCCCAGATGTTAACCCCTCCCTACCCAGTGCCATTAGTACAGTGTCAGTGCTTTTTATTAGCACTGATCACTGTATTAGTGTCACGGGGGATGTCAGTGACAGTCAGACCCCCCCCCCCCCCCCCCCCCCCGTGTCAAAATGCCCACCGCAGTCCCGTTCTAAGTCGATGATCGCCACCATTAGTATAAAAGAAAAAAAAAATTCCAGTTTATATATACTGCCTTTTGTAGACGCTATGTAAATTAATTAATTAAAATGTATTGGGATTTTCTTAGCAAAGACATGTAGCAAAATACATTTTAGCCTAAATTTGATTTTTTTTTTTTTTTATTTTATTTTATTGGACATGTTTAATAGCAAAAAGTCAAAAGTAGTATTATTCATTTTTTCTTTTTTTTTTTTTCAAAATTGTCGGTCTTTTTTTGTTTGTAGCGCAAAAAAAATAAAAATCACACAGGTGATCAAATACCCCCCAAAAGAAAGTACAGCATGCATAACCACGTAATTGTCAGTTAAAGTAACGCAGTGCTCTATCGCAAAAATGGCCTGGTCAGGAAGGGGGGGGGGGGTAAATCCTCTGAAGGGCAAGTGGTTAAAGAACAGGTCCCTCTTAATACACGTTTTGGCAATGTTGATTTTCCTGCAGAAAATTTGTAAGCTTCATAAATAGTTTTCACAACCTGTTTTGTTCCACTAAAGTGTTGAAGCAATGTGGGAACTGTAGTGGCTGTGTGACCTTTCCATAATTAACTGTAGATAGAGACAAACTAATTTGAACATTTCCTGAAATACCTAATGGGTACTTAAAATATGCAAAATGTAATTGTTGAATAGTATTACAAATCTTATTTAAGTCTCCACTTTATAGGAATTGTTTGTAGTTTTAGGTGTATTATTCCTTTTAATAACATGAATGCCCAATCAAATCAACTAATAATCTTTATGGGTTTCATTTTTACAAATTTTCATACCCCTGTCGCCAGTTTCCATATTATTTTTTGGACAATTATTTCTACACCATTGCTGCTTGCTTCTACACTTTGATAACACCAATTTTACAGCAGAAGTTATAGCATTACCACTGAAGTCTGCATCTGCACCAAGATGTGTAAGGGAGATCTCAAAGTCTATTCAAGCACAGTGTGTCCATTTTACATAAGGGTTTTTATCAATATGGTGTTTGCTAGATGATCTCTCAGTATGTACAGCAGAAAATGTTTCACTCATCACCTTATCTGCCCACTTCTCCATCCATATCTTAGGCATTTAATTCCTGTTTTCAAGCTGATTAACCAGGCCTGCTAGGAAATGCCTAAAGTAACAGAAGGAGAAACGAAATGTGGGTTGGGAAGCAGTATTGGCAAAATCAGGGAAGAAAATTGTGTTTAATGTGCTTTTTCCCCCTAAACCCCATCCTCCGCTACTAGTCCCCCTTGCACCACTTTCACAGTTCACTGGTTGATATGATAATTCTGTTCATGATCGTTTTGTTTGATCTTTCAGGTTGGGCAGTCTTGCTCTGAACCCTGAAGAAACATCAACCCTCAGTTTTGAAGCCGATGTTCCGTATCTCCGGAAAGCTATTACTACATTTGGATCAATTAACACTGTGGTAAGAGCATCATGTTAATGTATGATATGCCTGCCTAACATCCTTTTCTGTTCCTGGGTTTGTTTTGCACATCCATATTTGTGGGAATTTGCACAATCTTAGCAACGTGAATTGAAGTGTGCAGTCAAAAAATTAGAATATGGTGAAAAAGTTCATTTATTTTAGTAAAGCAACTTAAAAGGTGAAACTAATATATGAGATAGACTCATTACATGCAAAGCAAGATAGTTCAAGCCGTGATCTGTCATAATTGTGATGATTATGGTTTACAGCTCATGAAAACCCCAAATCCACAATCTCAGAAAATTAGAATATTGTGAAAAGGTGCAATATTCTAGGCTCAAAGTGTCCCACTCTAATCAGCTAATTAAGCCATAACATCTGCAAAGGGTTCCTGAGCCTTTAAATGGTTTCTCAGTCTGGTTCTGTAGGAATCACAATCATGGGAAAGACTGCTGACCTGACAGTTGTGCAGAAAACCATCATTGACACCCTCCATAAGGAGGGAAAGCCTCAAAAGGTAATTGCAAAGATGTTCCCAAAGTGCTGTAGCAAAGCACATTAATAGAAAGTTATGTGGAAGGGAAAAGTGTGGAAGAAAAAGGTGCACAAGCAGCAGGGATGACCGCAGCCTGGAGAGGATTGTCAAGAAAAGGCCATTCAAAAGTGTTGGGGACTTTACAAGGAGTGGACTGAGGATGGAATCAGTGCATCAAGAGCCACCACACACAGACGGATCCTGGACATGGGCTTCAAATGTCGTATTCCTCTTGTCAAGCCGCTCCTGAATAACAATGTCAGAAGCGTCTTACCTGGGCTAAAGAAAAACAGACCTGGTCTGTTGCTCAGTGGTCCAAAGTCCTCTTTTCTGATGAGAGCAACTTTTTCATCTCATTTGGAAACCAAGGACCCAGAGTATGGAGGAAGAATGGAGAGGCACACCCTGCAAGATGCTTGAAGTCCAGTGTGAAGTTTCCACAGTCTGTGTTGATTTGGGGAGCCATGTCATCTGCTGGTGTTGGTCCACTGTGCTTCATTAAGTCCAGGGTCAACGCAGCCGTCTACCAGGAAATTTTGGAGCACTTCATGCTTCCTTCCTCAGACGAGCTTTATGGGGATGCTGACTTCATTTTCCAGCAGGATTTGGCACCTGCCCACACTGCCAAAAGCACCAAAACCTGGTTCAATGACCATGGGATTACTGTGCTTGATTGGCCAGCAAACTCGCCTGACCTGAACCCCATAGAGAATCTATGGGGCATTGCCAAGAGAAAGATGAGAGACATGAGAACGAACAATGCAGAAGAGCTGAAGGCCGCTATTGAAGCATCCTGGCCTTCCATAACACCTCAGCAGTGCCACAGGCTGATAGCTTCCATGCCAAGCCGCATTGAGGCAGTAATTGCTGCAAAAGGGGCCCAAACCAAGTACTGAGTACATATGCATGCTTATACTTTTCAGAGGTCCGATATTGTTCTATGTACAATCCTTGTTTTATTGATTGCATGTAATATTCTAATTTTCTGAGATTGTGGATTTGGGGTTTTCATGAGCTGTAAGCCATAATCATCACAATTATGACAAATCACGACTTGAACTATCTTGCTTTGCATGTAATGAGTCTATCTCATATATTAGTTTCACCTTTTAAGTTGCATTACTGAAATAAATGAACTTTTGCACGATATTCTAATTTTTCGAGTTTCACCTGTATATTGCACTTATAGTGTGAAAACTTACAGTGCAATATGCCTATCCAAATACGTATAATAAATAAAAGTAAATTAACATAAAATCAAAAATTGCCGCTAACATATACAATGTTCCCACATACAAATACTAATATACAAAAATGCAGCACAATATTATAAATATTAAATATGCATAAATCCTTGCTCTGTGACAATAATTAAATACCATATAAGTGCATATTCTGTGTGGTGCAAGAACAGGATCCTCTTCTGAGTATGTCAGGACAAGCAGTAACATCTAGTACAGTATAGGATTACAACAAAATGGCTCCCGAGACCATGTGACGGTCTCCAACAATAAAGAGCAGTGTATATATAGTGTTGATTTAAGAATAAGGTCAGCCATAGTATTCAAGCATCAAGCAGGTCATATGTAGGCAATGTTAAAGTTTTAAATGAGTGGTGCAAGAACAGGATCCTCTTCTGAGTACGTCAGGACAAGCAGTAACATCTAGTATAGCACAGAACAAAATGGCACCTGAGACCATGTAACGGTCTCCAACAAAATGGTGCCGAGACAGGTGTTAACACATTACAATCAATGAATGGGAATAAATACATGACTTGTCCATTCGACTGCTTCTGATGAAGTCACATGACATAACGCGTAGGGCACGCCGATGACGTCAAGCCGTAACCGGAGTACGTTCCGCCATCTTGGATAGGGGATCCAATGCGGTTTCATTCACAAAATTACTATACAAAGAGATATTGATCCTGTAGTGTCCCAGAAGGACACAAATAAATGTAAGTGGGAGATTTTAAGAGTTTTAATAAAGTTTACAATGATTTGATATACTTCACCATCTGGAGCATTTTTTTCCATTTTCTGTGGTGCGTTTTGGAGTGTGGAGGAGCAGGAGGAGTTGGATATATATACCAGCAAAGGGAAAGGCGCACGTTTGACCTGGCGGTGCATTTTGGAGTTTGGAGGTGCAGGAGGAGTTGGAGAATGATACACCAGTATACCCACACGGGTTATAGGGAAAGGCGCGGTTTGACCTGACGGTTTGGGTCAAACCAGAAGGTGAGCGCATAAGTGTGTTGGAGGTGGATCCAACACTGAGGGGTCACACGATATCACTGGATGAATATATACAGAGAAGAAATTGCACATTTAGCACTTAGAGCACTGAGTCTTAAAGGGACGGTTCACCAAGATTTATATTGGGACACTATTATTAGATAAACGCACAGTGGATAGAATTCAGATAATGCATGGTATTATGAGGAAGTGTGCGTTACTGTGTTGTATTTAAAGCTATACGTTTTGAGCACAGAATATGCACTTATATGGTATTTAATTATTGTCACAGAGCAAGATGTATGCATATTTAATATTTAGAATATTGCGCTGCATTTTTTGTATATTAATATATTGCACATACTGTTGAAAGGAAAAAAAAAGTTGTTACAGACATTGAAGAGGCTGAGAACAGAACACGTAGCCTCCAAGTGATCACTTGAAATGGCCATATTGCATAAATGCTGCTCCTACAATAAAAACTGTCTTCCTGCACCTTACTGTTAAAGTTGGAACGAATGGTTATGGTTTGCCAGTGCCTCAATAAATGATGTGATGCTGAAGTACTTATTTTCCCCAAAATGTTTTTATGTAGGCTCTCCGGTACAAGCGAATAGAGACAAGAAAACTAGGGGAAGAATAGGTGTGCGAATGGAATGAGAACAGAGAGGAAAGAGGGATGGGTGGGTTATGAATAATGATGGCTTTGTGTTTGTTTGGATGCACACAGTGTAGGGAGACATAACCCTAGTACTTGCATGCAAGGGTGGATCCATAGGATGTTTTAAGAGAGAGAGCTGTACTAAAACAGAAAAAATAGGGCAGTGGTCATAGCACAAGCCTAAATTGGAATATAGGCAAGCATTAAACGATAAAGAAGCTGCATACTCAGTAAGTGATTAAATCATCTGCTGAAAGTGCTGAATTACTGAGGAGTTAATATCACTTTAAGGGCCAGTGATGGACAGACCATAACATGGTGCTGAATTTCTTTTCAGCCATAGTGGGGGTGGGGAGGGAAGGGAACTAAAGCTGGCTTTAGATGGGTAGACTTTTGAACAAAATTATTAGGAAAAGCATGTTCTAGGAAAATTTGTTTTTCTAAATATTAAAGGAGTCAACATGAATTTTCAGAACAACATAACAGGCTCACGAAATGCCCAGGCAGGGGCAGAGCTAAACAATCCCATACAAAAGTAGATACAGGTCAGTAGTGTGCATTAATTCAGCGCAGTGCTAACCATAACTAAGGAGGATTGGCAGAAAAATCAAAACCAAAATCAACATTAATTTTTGACCGCGGTGATAATAAAATTCAAAGATGCAGGATGAAATATTTTTCTCCAAAACAAATTTCTAGCAGTATATGTGCTTTTTGTCTTGGTAAAGTCTGTTCATTTCAAAATCAAATTTTGACATTCGAATATTTTGAGAATTTTTCTACGATTATTTCCTAAGACTTTTCCCAAGAATTCTCATTCGAAATTCTATTTTTGGCAAGTTTAAATAAAAAAAACAAATCTACTGATAGATCCCTTGACTGACTTCAGTCCATTATAATTGTATGTATGCTAATAAATGTTTAACATCCCTCATGTTGTGTTTTTTTTGTTTTTTTGTTTTTTTCTTTCTGTATTTCAAGAACTGTGAAGCAAGTCCAGTGATTGTCAGCCCTGTACCCTGCAGTTTTGTCACTCAGAATCCCTGGCTTCTCAACAATTGTTATGTTCCTCCAATTGATCAGGTACATTAACTCTGCAATGCCTGATATCATGTCTAGACAATTACACTTGAAATAGAATAGTTTAATAGGAGATAGAAGAACACACTTACCTTTTGAATTGCAACAAGATAAGAATGTTCGAATATTTTTAGTAAACTATATGCAGACATTTTTAAGGCCCCTTCTGTCCAAAGCTATTCATTTTGGTTTGACAAAAGACTACTTTACTTGGCCTGGCAGCTACTTTTTATATTTAATAATTGGAAACTTTACAGACAGCATGTTCTTACCAATACACTCTGTATTAGAGGGTTCACTCTGCAAGCATGGATTCTATCACCCTATTCTAAATGGATGCAAGAGAAGGAGGTTGTATCTAATGACGTCAAGTTTCTCAAGCAAAGTTGCCAAGGTGCAAATAAACACCTCAGCTCTATCCAAAATCAACCTGGAAAAAATTCAGACCAATCTAGAGTTTAAAAGGGAACTCTCATAATATAAATATGAGAACTGACATTACTGACTTCTGAAAGACCTGTGCTCCATGCTTGTCATTCTTATCCTTCTTTCTGTACTTGGTAAGTCAATAAATATTTGTTCCAGGTCATTGATTAACTAATTAGTCAAAAAGGAGAGTGATGGCCCTGGAGTATGTGCCTTCCAGAATTGGAATTTTGCATAGTGCCAAAAAAAAGCAATCTTAAACGCTGTGAGTTGTGGAATCATAGCTATTCTCTGGAATTTCTTGCATATAACAACAAATTACGTAGCTTTACACTAGGGTAAAGTTGTAAAGGCTCAAGGTTTTTTACCTTCATGAATTCTATGTATGAAGGTAAAAAACCTGTGTACAGCAGCCCCCGGCCAATACTTACTTGAGCCCCAATGTGATCCGGAGATGTGCACAAGAGCCTTGGCTCTCTGTGGACTCTCCCTCTTCACTGGCTGAGACAGCAGCGGGAGCCTTTGGCTCTCATTGCTCTCGATCACAGCCAGTGAGCCAATGAGAAAAGAGATGGGACAGGGCCGAGACATAGCTCTGTGTGTAAATGGATACGCAGAGCAATGGCTCGCAAGCGAACCTGCTTGCTCTGGGGGCACTTGGCAGGAGGGAGGGGCCAGGAATGCTGGCGGGGAAAAGGAGAATCGGGGCTGCTCTGCAAAATCACTGTATAGAGCAGCGACGTGTGACAAGTTTATTAAAAAAAAAAAATGTATTTACCTTTTTAACATTGTTAATGCCAGAGTTTCACTTAGTAGTACCAATTATGTACTGCAGCAGCTAGGAGGTAAACAGGAACTGCATCTAGAATTAAAGCCATGTATACATTTGCATACATATGTATTTTTGGTCAAAGTATTTTATTTTTTGGTATATATTTTGATAAAAATTTTCAGTACATAGTTTTTCTGGTCCGCTTCAGTAATGCCTGCTCTACATGTTGTAGTTCTCTTTATAGCAACTGATAATGATTTGCTTGGTGGGGGAGTACTCATGTTTTTGTTTTGTAACTGTAATGTGCAGCATTCAGGTGAACAAAATAAACAAAAACTTATTATGTCAAAGCTTATGTAATGCTCAGAAATTTGGTATTATAGCACAGAATATAACTGGATACTAACATTTATAGGTAAAGTTGATCAAGGGAATATCCGATTGCCTCTCGGGGGATCAGGAGGAGCAAATTGGATCATGCTTTGCTGGGTTTTTTTTTGCCTTCCTCTGGATCAACTGTGGATGTAGTATTATAACTTTTTTTTATGGTTGAACTGGATGGACTTTTGTCTTTTTTTCAGCCAGACTAACTATGTAACTATATAGCACAATTGTAATCAGGGAAAGTTTTTTTTTTTTTTTTTTTTTTTTTTTTTTTTTTTTTTTTTTTTTGCTTTTTTTCTTGATGCCAGATTTCTTCAACATGGGCCACATGACTAGATCTTTTATAGGAAACCATTTGAATAATCCATTAACATGTAGCAGTAACATAGTTTGATGTCCTGCTTAGTTAAGAAGTTGGCAATGTTTTTCTTTTCAGAAACCTCATTCGGGAACTTTGAGCCCATCTCTGTCTGAATGGCTTTTGGAGGGCAAAGTGACAGGCATTTCTTCATGTCCTGCTTTGTACATTCCAAGCTCTTCTCCACAGGATTGGCTACTAAACTCAGACATCACTGGACATAATGAGGTATGTTCTACATAAAACCCTTTTTAGTAGTAGCCGTTCTAATTATTAAAGATGGCCTGTACAGATAGTAGCAGAAATTGTCATTGCTGTCCAGCTTTTCACTTTTTTGCTGCCACCAATGTATGGCAAGCGTATGTCAGCAGCACATGGACCTGTCAACAGACTCTTCATCACTTTAGTATCTGAGTCTGTTTAAATTTTCGGAGCCATCCTTTAGCTTTTTAGCTGTAAAGCCACCTGATCACTCTCAAATAAATGAATGTGTATGCAGTGTGCAATACACTCATATGAATGCAAAGGATGTACAAAAACGACAATTGCATCAAACTTTAGGCTTTTGCCGGAGTGAGAGTGGCAATGCTAGGGCCATCATTCACAGTCATTTCTAAATTGATGACTTGTAAAGGCTTTTAAAGCCTCGCCTATGGACAGTTTTGGAATCTTTTAGTTTTTCACTGTTTCACAGGCGTGTACAGTTTTAATTCTTGCTATATACTTGACACAACATCTTGTATATTTTACAAAAAAAATTGGTAATATATTCTGTTTGTGTACACCTAAATTTACCTGTATTTTTTACTTGAAATATGGGTTTGATACACTGTTAAACTAATGCCATTTGACATCAAATAAATTTGCAACTACCAGAGGTTGTTTTTTTTTTTTTTTTTTTTTTTTTTTTTTCCTCCAAGGTCTTTCCTTTCAGAAAAAAAATATATATGTTTTTGGGTTTACATAGTCTTCAGGTCTACAATTAATATTTTAACACAAACAAACTACATACATAACTTACAGAATTTGACATAGTTTGTGATCTATGAGGTCAGCACTCCAAACCAGCCTGGTCTGCCAGTCAGTTGATACCATAGCAGGGGTAAGTCAGTGGATCATAAAATTTTAAGTGACCCTCCTAGTCACCTAAAAGTGCAAAATGTGCAGCATTGAGGGAAAGCAAGCACTAATAGTGCTTAACCACTACCCTCTTGCTATCTATTTCTTTTCCATTCTCTGTGATCAAGCCTCTGCTGCCTTCTATACAGGCAGTCCCCGGGTTATGAGCAAGATTGGTACTGTAGGTTTATCCTTAAGTTGAATTTGTATGCAAGTTGGAACAGGTACATGTTTTTAAGGGTTGAAACTCAAGACAAAAAATATTTTAAGTTTTGGATAGCATAGGGAAGGGTTAAGTGGCCATGTGGTGATGTGGGATTGCTGAATGGTCTGCTGGACAGTAGATGGCCGACTGGCCGTTTCCGTGACCTGCGTGACATAACGCTGCCTCTGTTCTTAAGTACGAGTCCTTTGTAAGTCAGGTGTTTTGTAACTTTGGACCTTGCTGTATTTCCCTGTTGGTCCATTGCTATGATCTGCAGCCTCAATTGCAGGTATGGAGGCAGGGCCAAGCTCTCAACCTTAGGAGCTGGAACTGTATAACATAAATGCTCCATGTCTTGAGCATGCCTGCCTTCTGTCACTGCTGCCCATTTAATACTTTTATAGTATAACATAACTTTTTGGTCAGTTTAGAGACCATTAGGGACTTCTGCACCATTTTGTTAAACATTTCAAAACAACTGGACATTGACTTGATCAATACACTCACTAACTGCATCATCTGTTAGGTTCCATGCACACTGGGCGTTTTAATAACGCTGGTAGCATTAGCTGTGTAAAGTCACACTAAAAACGTGAGTATTTTAGCGTTTGCGTTTTTAGCATTGTTTTAAACAAAAAATAAATTTTTTTTTCTAAAAAAAAATGCTCAAACGCTTGTTTTTCAGTGTTAGAGTGTTTTTACGGCTAAAAAACTCCTCTAGCTACCCACTAGTCCTGGGGCTTATTTCAGCCAAAAAAAAAACACTGATTAAACCCTATGTGTGCATGGACACATGATTACATGCTGGGGAGTTTATTGGCTGTAGAAAAAAATGCCAAAAGCAACAGCTGTCAAAACGTCCCGTGTGCATGAGGACTTAAAAGACCCTACACGTTGTTAAGGAAATTGCTCTTGACAAAAAATGGGTCCATGCTACTCATCTGCTTGATTTTAGATTTATCTGCATAAGAGTCACAAGTGGACAATTAGTATGAAAACCTTGATTTGTTTGACCTAGAAAGTGCTTACTCATAACGTTACATAGTAACTAATGTCCATTATAGACTTTGAGTAAGAACTTCAGCATGCAAAATTTTGTCTGGGTTTTTATTTTATTGGGCCTCTTGACCTTTTAATAAATTGAGCAGATGAGTAGCAGGGACCATGTTTACCTGGACTTCTGTATTGTGCGGTGGGATCAGGCAAGGTCCATGAGCCATAATCTGAAAATGCTAAGGTTGATAATGCTTGTCGATCTCCCATATGGCAGAAGTGAGATTAATGTGCAAGGTACTGTTTGAAGCCTGTACTGTGATGTCATCATGAGATTCCGTAAATTAACTGCTTTGCTCAGTTCAACTGCTAAAATACTTTATATTCAGAATGCACTCATTTTACTTTTTTCCTATTTAACAGTTTTCAGAAATGCCTGCACCACCCACATTTGATATGGAGAAAATTTGGGGTAAACTAGGGGAATTACATAATTGGTTGCTACAATCCCAAAATAAGGAATCTTGTCCTGAGAAAACTGGAGTGCGCACACGTGAAAATTCAGAGTCCAGCTCTTTCTCCTTTGAAAAAGTTGAAGATGTTGACTTTGATTTGGAGGATCAGGAAGAGATGGATCTTTCAGAGTGGCTCATTTCCTCAGCCACTACTGAAGACTCAATCAGTGACGTGGACAAATGGAAACTCCTCTTTCAGCCATTTGTTCAGGACTACAGCATTAGCGATTGGCTCCACAAAGTAGAGTCCTGCAGTAATTGCTGTGGTGGAAATACAGCTGCCTTGGAAATTGAAAATCTTGGGAACCTCAGATGCTTAAATGAGCAGCTTGGTGGGAAGAAGGCACCTGTGTTTGTCGATGAGATGTGGCTGTTGAAGGAATCTCAGCCAGTTTTTAAGATGGAAGAAATCTGCAAAGCTAATGAGCCCTGCTCTACTCTCTCAGAATGTGTTTGTGATGAAAGCTGTGAGAAGGACGCTCTAAGGAAGTGGCTTTTGAAAAAAGAAGGCAAAGACAAAAATGGCATTCCTTTGAATCCAGAACACATGGCCAAAGACAAGGAGTCTGAAAAGTCAAAACCTTCCATAAATATGTGGCTGCATCCATGCAAAAGAAATTCTGGAGACCAGACTTGTACCAAGAAGACAGAAGAATGTGATCCCTTAATTAGGCACTTCAGACAATTGCTTGAAACACCTTTGGCCAATTGGGTTGTTGAATCCGCTACAGCAGAGAAGGCAGAAAATGAAATTTCAAGTAGTAAATGGAAGCTGAACCCCGTAGAGAATCTTTCTCCATTTCATTTGCCTCTAGACACTGGTTGCTGGGTGTTGTCTTCAAAGAACATAGATAACGTGGAAAAGTCAGCACAGCCTGCACTGGAGGATAAATGGCTCTTACGTAAAAAAAGCTCATGTAAGTATATAGATAAGACATTTTAACTAAGGCATATGCTGTATGCTTTCTTGCTAGAGACATTAGCCAACATTTTTAATATTATATTTATACCAATGTTTAGTTTTTTTTGTATTTTTTTTTTTTTTTTATAGTAAATACTATGGGTGACAGAATGCAGCAATTTACCCAGATCTGCCTGTGTGTGATGAGACTTTTTTTTTTCTTTTTTTAATTAGGAATATTATGGCCTTTCCAGTGTCTGTGACCTTTTTACCTGCATGAAGCTAGCAGCAGACAAAGACCAATGGCTGTACCGCACTCCCTTACAGGTATGCACACATTTTAATTTAGGAGTACCTTGTGTTGTCATTTTGTAATAGAACAGGGCAAATAGATTTGCATAGTATTGGCCTGTTACATTTACGTGCTTTAGGGTACAAATATGGTTTCACCTGCAGGCTTTTTATCTTTCAAAACATTGGGTGACATTTGGCAGGTAACGTGGTTAGAATATCTCCCCACCACAGTGGCTAAGTGGTTAGAACTACCTGGCAGCAGCACTGGGTCCGCTGGTTCAAATACCTGTTTGCATCTACAAAGACACAGTGGGTAGATTATTGGGCAAATTGGCCTTTGAGGGCAGAGACTAATGTGAATGCACAATGTGCAAAGTACTACATAAATGGTCATTGCTTTATAATAACCTAATCTAAAGAATGATTCGAAATGCCATTAGACATACAAAACTGAAAATGTTTTGTATGGCACTAACATCTAAGACATCTTTTCTTACACAAGCTGCAGTAAAATTGGTCTTTGTAATTGCAGTACATGCATAAAGAATATGCTGGTAACATTGCTCAATTTTCTGTATATTTATCTAATATAATTACCATTGTCATACCAGCATGTGACAGCCAGTTGGCAATTCTCCTTAACTTGATTGTTTACAAAAAAGTGGGAGATTTTGTTCCAGCAGCTATCACGAGTGCAAGGTGACTTCCCAAACGGCGCTAATTACAGCCTAAAATGTTGCAGAGCTGGGAGAACTGTTAGTCTTTAAAGTGTTTGCTTTTTGTCCATTTGGGGGAAGGCACAGGAAGTCTTGAACTGTCAAATTATACTGCTGCATACAGAAGGATTGCACACAGGCAACTAATATTGTTGGCCTACCCAAGATACCATCTCCTACTTCCAGCATGCCTCGTTTTTTTTTCTAGTGCCCTAGGAGGATGGTTTGCTACACTCCCATGGATCTTAAAGTGTTACTGAACCCGCAACAGTAAAATCAGGCTGTATATGCAGTAAAGCATGTTTGTTATACTCACTGTGGAACGTAAGGGGTTAATCCTCTGCCTTGTGTAAAAAGGCTGTTTGATCCTTTCTTCTCTGCCCCTCTTGTTGAAATGACCACCTGATGCAGACTCAATACGTAGTGACCTGCACATGCTCAGTTTGGTGTGTATTGCTAGAGAGTTTTTTTTTTTTTTTTTCTTTCTTGGGAGAGTGCATGTGATCAGCACAGGGCCAATCAGCACTGTCCAGACAGAGGGTCCTCCTAGACCAGAAAGATAACTCCTTGTTCTATTCTATTTTGAATGCACATGTAATCTAAGAAAATAATTTTTGAAATAAATGGTCTGTTGACAGGGTCTCTTAATGCTCATCATACATTACAGTGCTGTGGCAGTTTATTAGCTTTCAACCACAAAGCATTCAGTGGATCCAAACAATCTACCACCAGCAGTTTTGCTTATTTTAAGGTTATACAAATTTGTTGGTTGTAGATCCCTTATGTGGTTGAAAACTGACACAATATTGCCCAGGTGTACAGTTGGCATTAGGCGGACCTGTGTTTTTTCTAAGCAGCAGAAATATGCAAGCACAAGGCTCCTAAAACACATATAGTTTAGTGGATATTATGTAATTCAGAAATATCCTGTGACCAGACTGGTGGGAATATGCAAAACAATGAGTTTTTGGATGAAATTTTTGTTCAGCTAGTCAATACTAAACAGTCTTTGATGTGCTTATCGCTTAGTTTTTTTTTGTTTTTTTTTTTTTAAATGTTACCAAAATTGTTCAATAAATAAAAGAAAGTGTTGTATAACCTTGTTGGTAAATATGCTGAAATATAATAAAGAGTATTCTAGTAATTATGGAAATATCTCATTGCAGATGTGAAGCAACTGATGAAACTTTGGTCAACCACGCACACAGAAATCATAATGGAAAAGACTTACTAGCTGTTTGCCTGCTACCTTTTTCCTCAGGATTGTTTTCTTGCTCATAACATGTATAGAAATGTAACATGTAATGAAATTTCTAAATTGAAACTATTTGGGTTACAATGTAATGTTTCTTGAAAATTACCTTTAATTCCTAGTAACAGGAACAGTATTTTCATGATGTGGGGTTGTAATAATGGAGTTTTCAACAATTTTTTGTGTGTCTGAGATCTGTTTTGTTTTTAAAACAAGGCACACTATTGCTTAAAACAGCATTTGCTTGTTCATTAGTTTTTAAAGTAAAGCTGTATTAATTTTAACATGACTAAACTGTAGGCATACACATTAGTAAGTACTCAAGGATGTCTGCATGTGATTCCTCCCCAGTAACTCTGGAGAAGTTCTAAAATGCAACTTACACATAGCAGCTATGTGTCTCTTTCACCTCATATGCTCAGTGAAGCAGTTCATCATAATGTTGGATTAATAGGGAAGCAGGAGGGGATGTAACCAAGCACAGATTCTGGAACTAATCTCACTATTTGCATATTACAGATCTGTGGCCTTTGGGGCTTTACATAGTGTGAGGACATGCAAACACCTTTTGTACACGTGTGCCTGCAATTTAATACACTTAAAATGATCATACGTTGACTGTAGGGCTACACTCTCTACAATCTCTCTGCTACTGATAGATGCAACTACATATTGGTAATGCTCTCTTTAGCAGCACATTGAGGTTTAATAGCCTAATGCTGAAGTAGCAGTTTTAATCTTTTTTTTTTTTTTTTTTTTTCTCTATATTCACATTTTTTTGCACGTAAGTGTGGGATGAAAAATATTTAAACACTTGAAGTACATTTTTGGTGCTATTATAGAGTCTTCTGCATGATAGAATTTCATATTGTCTATAAACAATCAAAAATGTTATAACATCTAAAAAGGTGCATGTGGCACTCAGTGGTAATCATTTGAACTGTTCATTCCGAGCTAAAACACACCTGTTACTCTATCTTTAAAGGGCAGTCACACTCTTCATCAAATGTGAGAAAAGTACACATTTGGATTCTGTCCGGAGAAAGTTTTCACTTTCTGGCCATAGAGTATAATGGCTGTGTTCAGGGCTTGCATTGAGAGCACCAGAAGACAGTGCAGTGGTTCTACTCTAACTGTAGAATTTGTTTTATGTTCTGAAGAGCATCAGTAGAATCAGACTTAATGTACGTCTTGTTACTGACTCCATGGAATAGCAATGATGATTCCCATGGTAGACTACTGCTTTGTGTATGCTTAACCTGTTGACGCCAACAGTACAAATATACGTCCTCTCGGCGGGCTGGGCCTTGACGCCAAGCTGCCACGTATTTGCGTACCAAAAGTAAACAAATATGTGCCCAAAGCGCGCACCTTGCGTGCTCCTGGCACGTTTGCCGGCGCCCCACAGAAAGGTCCCAATCACTACTTGCGACTGGGACCTTTCCGATCATGTTGACAGCCTTTCATAATGCTCACATGACCCTAAACACTGCCTCCTGGCATCAACCTCTTTAAAGGGTCAGGAGGCTCTGGCACCAAGGGATTAAAGAAAAAATGCCCTGTAAAATTAGCTGTGAGGTCAGACAGGATGTTCCCCTTTGTCATATGGTGACACTACAGCCAGCTAGAGGATGGCTGCTTTGACACCGCAGTCAGGAGCCTGTCTCCATCTCCTGGCACTTGCCTGAGGCAAGCATCAGCAAGAGGAATGCAGAAGGATGGGAGGCTGATGTGTCTTGCATCCATCTGCATGCTTCTTGCCAGTGCTTGCCTCAGGCAAGTGCTGGGAGGTGGAGATAGGCAATCTCCAGCAAAGCAGCCATCTCAAGAAGGGGGCACAGGGTCTGCCATTACAGCTCGTTTCACAGGGAACCTAGGATAAAGGGACAAAGTAGTACATGTACTTTTTCCCCATCATCAACTGAATAGTGTTAAACAAAAAAAAAAAAAACATCTGTGTTAAAATGTCATTCTCTGTGGCAATGAATGGTGGTCCCTGTAAGACTCAAAAGTCTAGCCATTAGCATTTACCCCATAGACGAACAGGTGAAATGTTCATCTGTTTGTCACCAACTGCTCATTTTAGGTGGTATAGAAAAGCAATTGCACACCTAAGCAACATTTGTTTGAGAATTGAACATTTCGCTGAGATAAAATAGTTAGCTCTTACTGAGCCAAAAGTGTACTTTAGGGGTTTTCTTTTAGAGCAGTATACCTTTAAGTTACATTTCCTAAACCTGAATGAGCAGGAAACTTTCTCTAATCTTTTTCATTTGAGCATTTTGCACAGAGCGATGGGAAAAGGCAATCTATTTTAAATTGTCTTTTAACACTTTATATATATATATATATATTAAAAGATCTTTTGTTTCCATTGCTTCCATAATTTCTTCAGTTAACAAATTAACCTATATATTTTTATCGATAACCTACTTGGAAGCAGATATTTTAGTTCTTTTATTTTTTAATTGCGCTCATATTATTGTTACCCATTTGCCATCAGGTAAACCATGAAGGAGTTTGATGCCACTGGCTCTTGAGTTGATGACTCGGATATTCCCAGATTATGCCGTTGTTCAACTGAATTGCTTCAGTGTAATGTATTTTCTTATGTGATTGTGCCATCATACATCTAAACATGCCTTTAATCATTCATTATGGGTAACATATTCATTATAAAATTACTTTCCTTAGTTATGGTCAATTAAAGAATTGGAGCAATAAATAAGATTGTGTAGTATTTTATTTTTTTATATATATACTTTATTTCTTATGCAATTATTTCCAGAACTGAAATCGTGCTTGAGGGTACAACACTTGGATACCTGAAGGAAAGAAATATGTTAAGCGAGAAAATGTTAGTAAATTAGCTGAACTGTGCTGAGAGATGGACAGCTCACACAAAATGTATTTTACAAAAATATCCAAAATGGGTTTTTTTGCTATTCATTGCCAAGTTCCTTCTGGAAATGCTTATGACCCTGTAAAAAGCATGGACCCAGTGATGTTGGACCAGCATTAACATCACCTGACAGACCTGTGGTACAGTTCCAGACCAGTTCTCTGTATG